CAAGTACGTTATTGTGGATCAGAACACACTTGGCTCAGCAATCTCAGCTTTGGGTACAGGTATCTCATCATTGATTCAACAAAAATCTAATGAGTACGATCAATCTACGGTACTCAAATGCCTTTTTGATACTGGTAAGTTCTTGTGTGAGTCTTACTATCAGATGAATAAGACTCGAAAAGCATTCATTTATCCCAGTTTGGTTAAGAAAACCAAAGAAGTGCTAGAAAATACCCAATCGTCTGAACTGCTATTCGGTGACGAATTATCGACGAGACTGAAAACAGCCAAATCTATGGAAAAGGTTGGGTTGACATTAAAAACTCAACAGTCGATAAGGAAGTTGGCGGCCAAGCCGTCACATGTGGGAAACTCGAGGACCCCGTTTGGGAAAGGTCAGGGATTCTTCCAGTCGGGGTACAAGTCGAAGAAATTTCCCCAACAATATCAGCAAGGTTATCTCCAGAACAAATATCACCAGCAGAGGACCTCCAGTTACAGCCAACGTCAATCCCAACAGTCTCGAGGGAAGGAGACAGCTCAGCAAACCCCAACGAGGAAATAGTAGAGGTAATCAGAATTGCTGGGCGACTCAGTCAATTTCTAGACGCCTGGTCAGAGATCAAACGTGATTCATTCATACTGGATTGCATACAAGGATACAAAATTGTGTTTAAAGAAACTCCATTCCAACTTAAAATTCCCATCCAAAACCCCGTTTCTCAAACAGATGAAACAGAATACATTAAAGCAATTCAAAAATGATTAGATTTGGGAGCAATTAAAAAATGTTCCCCCTGCAAAGGACAATTTATTTCAACATATTTTTTGAGACCAAAACCGAATGGTTCATTCAGGTTCGTTTTAAATTTGAAAAAATTGAACAAGGGATTTATCAACACAGATCATTTCAAAATGGAAGATTTTCGTACTGCGACGAAGCTTCTAACAAAAAACACTTACATGGCAAGTGTGGACTTACGTGATGCTTATTTTTTGGTGAATATGCATGCGAGCAGCAGAAAATATCTCAGATTTTATCCGAAAAATCCGTTATTCGAGGTTACCTGCTTGCCATTTGGCCTCAGTACTGCCCCATGGTTCTTCACCAAAATAATGAAGCCTATTATCAATCGTTTGAGGGGATCAGGTTACTTGTCGGTCGTTTACCTTGACGATTGGTAATGCCTGGGCGCAACTAGAGAACAATATTCAGATAATTTGGGGGAAACTCGGGAACTATTACAAAGAATGGGATTTATTATAAATGACGAGAAGAGTGTACTTGTTCCAAGCACTCGATGCAAGTTTTTGGGTTTTATTTTGGATTCCTCGAAAATGAGACTTGAATTACCCGATGGAAAGAGAGAAAATATTCTACAATTGATTGAAGTCATGAGTAAGAAAGAGGTATGTACAATTAGATCCTTTGCTCAGTTCGTGGATACACTAACCTCAGCCTGCCCGGCTGTGAACTATGGATACTTGCATACAAAAACGTTCGAACGCCAAAGATATTTAGCTCTTCTCAGAAACAATAACAACTACGATGCAAAGATGCAATTGAGTCGTTCGTTACAGACAGAATTTTCTTGGTGGACAACCACAATCTCTAAAGCGTTTAGCCCAACTAGATCGGGTCATTATTGTAAAGAAATATTCTCAGATGCATCCACCACAGGAGGGGAGCCTTCTGTGGGAATGAATTGACTTATGGGACTTGGGATCATTCACAAAGAAAAAATCATATTAATTATCTTGAACTAGTTGCAGTATACTATGGGCTCAAATGCTTTGCAAGAGACTTGACAGAATGTGCATTGTTGTTAAGAACAGATAACACCACAGCCATCTCCTACATCAACAGGATGGGAGGAATCCAATTCCCCCACCTGAATGAGATAACACAAAAAATCTCGAGATTTTGTGAAGAGAGGAGAATTTGGTTGTTTGCCTCTTACATCGCGTCCAAAGATAATGTAGAGGCAGACAGACGCTCTCGCATGGAAAACGTCCATACTGAGTGGGAACTGTCTAGCGAAGCTTTCGCTGATATAGTTGATAGATTTGGCCAACCGGCTATCGACCTGTTTGCCACGAGATGTAATGCCAAATGCCTTGATTATTGCTCCTGGCATCGTGACCCAGATGCATGCGCTAGATGCATTCACCCTAGATTGGAAAAACCTGGAATTTTACGCTTTCCCCCTTTTTGCTGTGATACTTAACATGACAAAAAAAATCATCACTGACCAGGCGCAAGGAATTGTGGTATTCCCAGACTGGAGCACACAGCCGTGGTATCCGTTACTTAAGACTTTGTTAATCGAACCACCAGTAATCTTCAAACCATCACCTCATTTACTGCTTTCCCCATGCAGGTCTCGTCAACACCCGCTATTCGACAAATTAACACTGATTGCAGGGAGAATATCAGGGAAACTTTCCGCAGAAAGAACATCCTTGAAAGCACAATAGATATTATAGCCGCATCGTTAGCCAACTCAACCGTCAAACAATATAATGGTCCTATCAAACAGTGGCTACAATTCTGTGCATCTTCAAACTCAAATCCGTTCGAAGCATCGGTGACTCAAGCCTTAACTTGGTTGACTGAACGATACGAAGCAGGGGCATCATATGGTACTCTCAATACCTGTAGGGCAGTATTGGGCTTAGTAGGTGATGAAGTGTCAAAGAATCCTTTACTCTCTCGGTTTTTCAAAGGGGTGTACAGAGCTCGCCCCCCAAAACGAAGATATGATGACACATGAGATGTAACTCCAGTTCTGAACAAAATAGCTGAAATGTTTCCATTGAATTCATTGACACTCCGTCAACTGACACATAGGTTAGTTATGTTGTTAGCCTTGGCGACTGCTCACAGAATACAATCCCTAGCTGCCATAAAGGTATCCAACATCACTCAAGACGATGGAGGATACATTATAAAAATAGACGAATTGATAAAATGATCACGTTTAGGTGCCCCTCAACCCGTTTCACCTACCCAGATTTGTAGACAAACCCGAGCTATATGTAGCAAGTACTTTAGAGTATTATCCCGAAGAAACGAAAGAATTGAGAGGTAACGTAAATTACTTATTGTTAACAACGAAAAAACCCTACACAGCAGTTTCCACCGATTCTATTGCTAGATGGATAAAAGATTTTCTGATTAATAGTGGTATTAATAAAAAATACAGGGCACATAGTACAAGACATGCCGTTACCTCAGCGGCCTTAAGAAAAGGAATTGATATTAATATAATTAAGACGACAGCAGGGTGGTCGAAAGAGTCTTTAGTGTTCGCAAAATTCTATAATAGACCTATTTCTCAGGATAGACATGCATTCACAAAACTCATTCTCAGGAATGATTGAAAATAGTTAAGTTACACACGAACTATTCTCTCATGAAGTTTGCCAGTTAATACTGTAAGTTGAACCTTAATTTAGAATTTGCAAGAGAAAATAAACCTATGTCTCTCTAAACATCTACATAGTTTATCTCGAGAATGAAACTCATAATATGATTGAAAATCAAACGAACTTACCTGTAAGTGACGTTCGATTATAATTATATGGAGAGTTTCGTTCGAGAGATAATACACCCATCCAGTTACTAATCCTTGTACCTAGAAATTAGTGGAAAATTAACCCACGCAAAGTAAGTATTCATTACTCTAAAAGTTATGAGGTTGGGTATGAGAGAGCGCAGAGAGGGGACCCGACTGCTCTTTTTTCTCTGTGGGGCTGAAGATCGTGGTGACATCGTGCAGGAACGAGCGGTACTACATAGTTTATCTCTCGAACGAAACTCTCCATATAATTATAATCGAACGTCACTTACAGGTAAGTTCGTTTGATTTTCAATTTTTCGGATCCGATCTGCTGGATCAGAACTTGGTCAGGTTCTCATCAGCCATTATCTGATCATGTCTACCTGATCAGAACTTGATCTGAACTCACCTGTAGTTGTTCAGATCCGATCTGCTGAATCAGAACTTGGTCAGGTTCTTATCAGGAATCACCGGATCAGTCGAACCTTGCAAAAACCTGATGAAGTTCTGATCGTGCTTCAGGTGGGCCTGAAGAAATTTCCACTCGGGTAGATAGATAAATTTGCAAAACCCATCCCCCGACGATCGTATCCACGGAAAAAATAAAAAACGAGAAAAATGGAATCCAACTTTCTGGGTATACTCTCTGTTTACTGTTATAAACGTTACTTTGCTACTGAAGCAAGAGAATAAAAACAATCAATTATAAGTATTAGCATTTCACTTTGCAAAATTGAGATGAACAATACAAATCTAATGAATAAATTCGGAAATTTCAATTTCTTGAAAGAAAAATGAAATTGAGGAAAAAAATAGCTTTTTAAGAATAAATGAAGAATGTCATTTGTTCCTCCAATTATCTCGGTGACAAGTGGATTTGAGCAAACATTTCAGAAGACAATTTTTGTAGGGAATTCAATTTCCTATAAGAAATTGTTCAACGTTTTCTTCTACAATTAATAATTTGCAAGTTAAAATGATAAAATTCCCAAAAACTTGCAATTTTCAATTTTTTAAACAAAAATATCAAAATATCTCAATGACTATCGATTTTACTGGAAAATACAAAAAATCGTCTTTAATCGGAAATTTAATCCTATACAATAAATGTCTATTGGCATTTTTTAGTAGGTGTCGAATACAATGAGCACTCTATACATTGACAGACATAGCGATCAATTCAGAGTATAAATTCAGTTGTCTGATGTATTATTATTTCAGTATTCACAATATAGTCGAGTCGATAAGTCACGCTTATATCTGTGGTGTTTACTTTCTCTGTCTCCTTTTCATTACATTATTCCTCTTTATACTCATCATGTATCAATAGGTTATGGGCCATTTGCATTTGTGTAATGAACTTCTGTAATTGAAAAATCAGAGGAGAGAAAAGTTATTAAGATTGCAATGTGCAAGTAGAGTCGATTCGTGAAACAGTTGACAAAAGAGTCTCAGATAATGGCATCGAACGACACCGGGACGAACTTCCGGAGTTTTGGTATTGTCAAATTGAATCTCAACAATTACCAGACATGGAAGTTCAGGGTGGAAATGTTGCTGATGAAGGAGGATCTCTGGGAGGTGGTGTCAATAGTTCCAGTGACAGGTGATACTCAGAATGCAGCATGGCTAAAACGAGATGCAAAGGCCCGGGTTTGATAGGGCTGCTCATGGAAGATAGCCAGATTGGAATGATTTGAAACCTCGAAACAGCGCATGGGATGTGGACAGCATTAAGACAATACCATGAGAAATCAACGCTAACGAATAAGGTGATATTGTTGAGGCAAATCCGTTCGTTGTGACTGTATGAAGGAGGTAATATGGAAAATCATTTACAATCAATGAAGGATTTAGTCGACAAATTAACTGCTTTGGGACAAGAACTGCCAGAAAATCTTCAGGTAGCAATGATTTTAAGCAGTCTCCCTGAATCGTTTAGCAGCATGGTAACAGCGTTGGATACCCCACCAGAAACAGAGTTGACCTTGCCATTAGTCCAGAATATTCTTTTGAACGAATATAGGAGGAGACAACGGGAAGAGGTGTCCAACGAGTCGACAACAGAACAAGCATTAAAGGTAAATAATGTGAAATGGGAATGTTTCTTCTGCAAAGAGAAGGGGCATAAGAAATGGAAATGTCCAAAATATCAACAACATACAAGAGTGAGAGGATCCAAGGTATCGAAGGCCAAGAAAGCACAAGAGAGACAATATGAAACTGACGAGGATGAAGAGCAATCAGAGGCGGCATACAAAGCGTACAGTACATATGGCAAACCACTACAGTCTTCAACGTGGTATATGGACTCAGGAGTAACAAAACATATGACCAATGATTTGAATTTCTTTGATGACCTCGACACAAATTATAAATCAACGGTAAGAGTTACTAACAAGCAATATAGCGAGGTATGTGGTATTGGATCAGGTAAGATTACTTATCAACTGAGGTCCGGGAAGACTAAGATTTGACATTGAATAAGGTACTGTATGTGCCCTCATTTGATTCAGGATTGCTGTCAGTGAGAAAAATGGACCATCTCGGGTATAAAATGGAAATTGAAAATGGACGAATGATTATGCTCAAAGATGGTGTAGAGGTTGCAGTGGCTGATGTGAAGGAAGAGATGTATCCACTCAGGCAGCGGGACGGACCTGAACGTGAATATGCTGCATCAGGCCACAGCGACAGATCCAAACACATCGATGCAAGGTATTTCAACACGAGAGAATACGAGAAAAGAAGGATAATCCGTGTGAAATACTGTCCAACGGAATTCAACTTGGCCGATATGTTGACAAAGCCACTGGGGCCACAACGGTTGGAGATGCTGTTAACAAAAATTGGATTAAGACAATGGGCAGATGAGAATGCTCATTGAGGAGGAGTATCGAATACAAGAGCACTCTATACATTGACAGACACACAGCGATCAGATTCAGAGTATAAAGTCAGTTGTCTGATGTATTATTATTTCAGTATTCACAATATAGTCGAGTCGACAAGTCACGCTTATATCTGTGGTGTTTACTTTCTCTGTCTCCTCTTTATTACATTATTCTTCTTTACACTCATCATTTATCAATAGTAGGGCTGCTCGTTATCGCGATATTTAAAAAACAAAATTAATTTGACGAATAACGACAATTTTCAAGAATGTAGAGAAAATCGTTATCATGTACTCTTCTGTTGATGAACATGAAATTGAAGAAAACGAATTCTCTTATGCGTACCCTATCGTGCCCCAAATTGAAAAATCAATTCATCGGAACCTTCCCTACCGATTTCAGAGTTTTTCTGTCGTTCTTTGGAGATTTGAAGGTGAAAAACAAAGAAACACCATTTATAATTATTTTAAAGTTTTTGGATACTACCCCACTCTGCCCCCAACTGTAATACGTTGGAGACGCGAGTTGATAATTTTAGGATGTGAATGGTGATTGCTAAAAAGCAATATAAGTATAATAGAAGCGCTGACAACCCGAGTCGAAATGTTACCGGGTCTCCCAACGTAGTTTCAAGGTCCCCTGGTGGGTTTAGGACGTTGAAAATACGTTGTCCAGTGTACAGGCTCAAATGCACCGATTCAATCTACTTTTGACGTAAATACTGTCTCTTTTTTCCATTTTTTCCAGATTGTACGTTGAAATTAGGTTGAAACTAAACGTATCCTCAACGTTCTTCTACCATACATTCTTTCCTTCCTTCCTGCCCCCTACCCTCTTCACACTACCAGTTCCATTCTACCACCGATTAACTGATTAAATCTTGCATAAATTAATCGGTGGAAGAATGACAAAACTATAAATATTATGAACTCGGTGAAACAAAAATTGGAAAAAAAGAAAAAAACGGATCGGTCCATTGGTTCTCGAGATATCCCTGCTTGTATATCCCTGCGTTCGGTCACCCATCCTTTTTCTGGTCTGACTCGCTACTGCTCAAGCTCAGTGGTCGCAGGATATCTCGGTATGCTTCTGAGCTGTACAGTTGCTTATGGCGAGTTGTATTTTTTTCGGGTTTATATAAGCAACTAATAAGAAGAACAATAGGAAAAAAAAGAAAGAAAGTAGGCAATAGAGTAATACAGGAACTTAAGAGGAAAGGAGCTGGAGGAGGAGATGAGAGGGAATTAGAGTCCACATAGGTCTAAGGCGTCTAAGGGTCGGACCCTTCATATAAAAGTCAGTGAGTGTAAAGATCCGATAAGTGTAAGAGTTAGTTGAGTCTGAAGGATCACGCGAATCTAAGGGTTAGTTGAACCTAAGGGTCAAAAGAATACGAAAGGTCAGGCGAATATAAGGGTCAGTTCAGTAAGGGTCAGATAAGTAAAAGGCTCAGTTGAATTTAAGGATCAATTGAGTTTAAGGGTCAAATGAATCTAAGCGTCAGATGAGTATATGGATCACATGAGTATGAGGGCCAGATGGAGTTTCTTTTATCAATAAGCGTAAAACCTTCAGCATAGGTCCAGATGGAAATAAGGGTCAGCCGAGTCCGAAGAATCACACGAATCTGAGGGTCAAAAGGGTACGAAGGGTCAGGTGAAGATAAGAGTTAGTTGAGTATGGGTCAGATAAGTAAAAGTCTCAGTTGAGTTTAAAGGTTAGATGCGTCTCAGTGATAGTTGAGTTTAAGGGTCAGATGGGTAAGGATTAGTTGAGTCCGAAGGATCATGCGAATTTGAGGGTTTGTTGAGTAAGGGTCAGATACGCAAAAGCTTCAGTTCAGTTTAAATGTCAATTGCGTCCAAGTGTCAGTTGAGTTTAAGGGTCAGATGGGTAAGGATTAGTTGAGTCCGAAGGATCATGCGAATTTGAGGGTTTGTTGAGTAAGGGTCAGATACGCAAAAGCTTCAGTTCAGTTTAAATGTCAATTGCGTCCAAGTGTCAGTTGAGTTTAAGGGTCAGATGGGTAAGGATTAGTTGAGTCCGAAGGATCATGCGAATTTGAGGGTTTGTTGAGTAAGGGTCAGATACGCAAAAGCTTCAGTTCAGTTTAAATGTCAATTGCGTCCAAGTGTCAGTTGAGTTTAAGGGTCAGATGGGTCTAAGGGTTATTTGAGTCCGAAGGATCAGGCGAATCTAAGAGTCGGTTGAGTCTAAGGGTCAAACAACTACAAAGGATCAGGCGGATTCAAGGGTCAGTTGAGTGTGAAGGATCACGCAAATCTACGAGTCAGTTGAGCCTAAGGGTTAAGAGAGTACGAACGGTCAGGCGAATCTAAAAGTCAGATGAGTAAAAGGCTGAGTTGAGTTTAAGGATTGACGTAAGCATCTTTTTTACAAGAGTAAATTTTTTTATGGTCAAATGCCATGAAACTTTGGCAAAACGTTATTTGAACTATTATAAAATGATCGATCTATCGCTCAGCTCTTCGTCATATTATCAATATCGTCTTTTTTGTTTTTTTGTTTTAGTTGATATTGACAATATGACAAAGAGCTAAGCGATAGATCGATCATCTTATAATGGTTCAAATAACGTTGTAAAGGATTTTTGCTGGTGCTCCACCAGCAATTATCCCAAACTATTTTGGGCATCTCCTCTATCGCTCAATTAAGTCGGGCGCCAGCTGGATTTTCACGGAAAATCCTACGGTAAACCGGCCTCAAAGGATAACTCGTCTACCCTGAGGACTTTTCGTGGCGGGGCTAACAATGCCGAGCCAGCATCAGCGTAAAACGGTAGAGTGGGCGAGGTTCACCATGCTAGGAGTATTTCACTCGATCGCTCCTCAGCTTTTCAGCCGAGAGACTTCGATTAAGCGTATCTTCCAGGAGCTGTTCCCCCATGTATCTTTCGCCGAGGATGTTTCCATTCCTCTGACGTATTCCTTTCCTCTCCAGAGTGGCTCAACCCTGGAGAAGTCGACCATCACTTGCGAATCCTTCTCACTCCTCGGAGCGCCGAACACTGAGAGGCACATGCGACACAGGTATCCGGAGACTTGTTCTCACCCATCTGTGCCCACCCCAACGCAACCTCAATGCTCGNCTCTCTCTCTCTCTCTGTCCCTCACTCTAACCATTTTTAACTCATGGGTTTTCGTGTTGGTAAAACAGTTTACCGTAACGAGAAAATCTCGTTACAACGTTTTGCCAAAGTTTCAAGGCATTTGACCATAAAAAAATTTACTCTTGTGAAAAACTCGCGCCAAAATTGCTTACGTCAATCCTTAAGGGTCAGTTCAATCTAAAAGTCAGATGACCTTTGGCTCACCTGACCCTCAGAATCGATCTGACCCTCAGACTCATTTGACCCTTATCCTCATCTTAGACTCATCTGACTCTCAGGCCCAATAGGGCCTTCGCACTCATCTAACCCATGCAATCAACTGACCCTTACACANCGTCTTAGACTCATCTGACTCTCAGGCCCAATAGGGCCTTCGCACTCATCTGACCCATACACTTAACTGACCCTTACACACAAAGGGCCCTTAAATTCAACTGACAGTTGAACTCAACTGAGGTTTTTAATTATCTGACCCTTACAAAACAGACCCTTGAATTCGCCTGACCCTTCGTACTCTTTTGACCCTTAGGCTCAACTCACCTTTAAACTCAACTGACATTCAATTTCAACTGAGGCTTTCACTTATCTGACCTTTAGATTCGCGTAATCTTTTGGACTCAACTCACCCTTATACTTATCTGACCCCTATATTNAGAGTGGGCGAGGTTCACCATGCTAGGAGTATTTCACTCGATCGCTCCTCAGCTTTTCAGCCGAGAGACTTCGATTAAGCGTATCTTCCAGGAGCTGTTCCCCCATGTATCTTTCGCCGAGGATGTTTCCATTCCTCTGACGTATTCCTTTCCTCTCCAGAGTGGCTCAACCCTGGAGAAGTCGACCATCACTTGCGAATCCTTCTCACTCCTCGGAGCGCCGAACACTGAGAGGCACATGCGACACAGGTATCCGGAGACTTGTTCTCACCCATCTGTGCCCACCCCAACGCAACCTCAATGCTCGGTAAAAGCACTATCATCGCGGGCCAACACCCAGAGTACTCGTCGTGGAGGTACGTGCGATCGGGCGATCTTNCTTATACTTAACTAACCCTTCTGACCCTTGGACCCAACTCACCCTTCAGACGCACGATTGTTTGAACTTTGAACTAATGTTATTAATGTAGTAACACTAATAACACAGTCCTACAAAATTTGAACTTGTTCTGGCACAGGGATGAGACTGCCACCATTTGAAAGATTTTTTCACGCAGATTTCAAATCTGTTGGCTAAATCTCTCGAAATGCCCTAGTTTCTGAGAAAAAAAATGTTAAAATCCTGAAAATGCCCCAAAATCGTCTTCTTCAAAATTTAATTAGAAAACAATGTTTGTCTCGATTGAGCTGAAGAAATACCAACAAAAAGACCGGAAATTATACTTCCAGATGACGTGGAGTTGTTTTCATTAGGAGCACGGGATTATTCATAATAAATTCCGTAGTTCTTCACTAAAATTGCAGTTATTTTTCAAACGAATGTCATGGCGGCAATTGTCAGAAGTTGCATCCCCACGTGGAATTTCAACCGTCAGATTTGAGGGTTATTATTTATCTATTTAATTTCACAAAGAAAAGTGTCTTTAAGAAAATGGAACCGAATATATCACTGGAGGGAAGGAGAATTCTGATTTGTCTCGTCGAGAATGAATCAAGCCTTTGGCAAAACGGTTTATGGAGGTACTGATGAAAATAAATGTAATTAAATTTTAACCCTCGAATCTGGCAGTGAAAATCCCACGTGGGGATACAACTTCAGAGTATGGCTGCCATGACATTCTTTTGAAAAATTAATGTAATTTCATTGAAGAAATACGGAATTTATTATGAATAATTCCCTGCTCCGAAGGAAAATAGTTCCACCTCGTCTGGAAGTATAATTTCCCGTCTTTTTGTTGGCATTTTTTTCAGCTCAATCGAGACAGACATTGTTTTCTAATTAAATTTTGAAAAAGACGATTTTGGGGCATTTTCAGGATTTTAACATTTTTTTTCTCAGAAACTAGGGCTCTTCGAGAGATTTGGCCAACGTATTTGAAACGCTGTGGATTTTCGCATCCTCAAAACGTGTCTCGTGTCTGGAAAATAGTATGGTACGGAGGATCCCCGGGCTCGTGTCTCGTATCTCGTACCGCATGCATCGTATCTCGTGCCTCATGCCTCGTATCACCCCATAGTGGGTGTGAATGACACCCACTATGGGGTTAAATGAGCCCTTTTCGGGTTCGAAATAAATTTCAGTAGGGCTAATTTAACCCCTTTTTAAGTGTGAATTAACCTATATTCGGGTTGAATAATACCCCAACGGAGATTAAAAGAATGAGTTTTAAACAAGAGCTGAAGTAGTAGCTGAACGCTTAAACCTAGTAGCTAAATAGTATATTTCGTCTCTAGGCCGAAAAAAACTTTTCTGGCGAATATGAGTTTGCATCTCGAGCCGAAGGCGAGAAATGCAATCATATGAGCTAGAAAACCTTTTTAGGTCGTATACCGAAACATATTTTTTGTCATAATAGCTGTAAGGAGTGTAGCTTCATTACGTGAAGCGCTGCTTTGCGGCCAGAATGACAAAAAATACAAATAGAACATTATAATTTCAATCAGCAGAATGTCAATTCACTCTGAGCGTGTCAATTTGTTCCACTGAATAAACTGCCAAAATGTGGAACCAGCTGATAAAGTGTAGAATCCAGAAAATATGTTGAATGTTCAAACAAGTTCAGCTACTCGGGCAAAAGCAGATACTGAGACATGCAACTTAGTTCCAAATTTAGAGCATTGTTAATTCAATTTTGTCATCAATTTCAACTATATTATTGTTGAGGACTAATGAATTGATATATTTATTTATGTTACACGTGCGTGTAAGTCCGAACTTACAGTGCTGTCTTTGGGGGTGTTCAAAACTGTTGAATAATCTACAGTTACACTCAGAGGACTTGCTTACAGTTCGCCTATCGGTGCGCCATCTAACACTATCATAAGAACGCAGCCGGTATCTATACTGTCAACTCATAACCTCAAGTTTAATCATCAGTAATCGTCACTGTTTCAATACAGCCATAAATGTCGTAATTTTCTGTGTTTACAACGTAATAAAAAACCTTGAATTATAAAGAATGGAAAAGAGCTTCGACGAATTAATGGATAGTGATCTCGAGCTCAATGAATCGGTTTTCGATTATCCTGAGGAAGTTCTCCAGTCACGAGAAGATGTAATTGAATCTGACAACAATGAGCTGGATGATGAGACCTGGACATCACAAACCCAACCCACCCTCGGATCATCGGCAAACTCTAATGAGTCTGCCATTGATGAAGACTTGAATGACAACACTCGTAAGGCAACTGACCATCATAACATGGTTCCCTCCCATATTCGTGAAGCTGCAGAGAAAGCGAGGTCAAATTTGCTACCAAAAAAATCGAATTCATCGTACATGTTTGCTTACCACAAATTTAAGACTTGGTTGGTTAAGAACGAACTTAATGTTGATAGCATTGATCGGGACATTATGCTGGCTTATTTCAACAAACTCAAAGAAAAATATAAGCCTAGTAGCTTATGGGCTACATACTCAAAATTGAGAAGTACCATCAGTACTTATCATAACATTAATATTCACAATTTTTCACAACTGATTCAATTTTTAAAAAATGCGAACAAGGTATATCGAAGTGTCCAAGCGTTGGCTCTGACAGAGGAACAGGTTAGGACATGTCTGCTAACTGCTCCTGATCAAATCTACTTAGATGTCAAGGTAAAAATTGAAATCTTATTGACGATTATACATGCTAAATTATTTCATCAGTATATTCCCATTATCCTTTTAGTTTTTGTTATAAGAATAAGCAAATGAATATCATTAAATTAATTATTCACAGGTAGTTTGGATTCTCGGGATGTACGGTGCTTGTCATAGATGCGAACTGAAAAATTTGAAAATAACTGATTTCAAGGAGAAAGGTGACGACTTAGAATTCTTTCTTGACGAGACAAAGACTGACAATCCGAGGTCATATGTAGTTCCTCAGCCACTTTGCACAAAGGTAAAGGATTACATAGCTTTACGCCCCGATAATTGTAAGCTTGAAGACTTTTTTCTGAATTATACCAAAGGAAAATGCACTCGACAACCTATTGGCATAAATAAAATTGGTAATATGGCCAAGGAAGTTGCCGTTTTCTTAAATTTAACGAATGCAAACCGTTATACATCACACTGTATACGACACACCTCTGCAACATGTTTTGCAAATACTGGAGCGAGTGGCGTAGCTTTGAAGCAGCTTGATGGCTGGAAGTCAACCGAAATTGCTCACGGTTATTGCCAAAACTCCCTACACAACAAGAGAAAAATTGCTCGTAGCATCACGGACAGTATTCTCGAAGCTCCAAGTACCTCTACATCAACAGCTCACCTGGTGTCTAAGCGTGTGCCCTCTTTCGAATCTTCAAAATTCAATGCTCTAAGAAATCAAGTCTCAACTACTCCACCAGTCGCTTTAACCCCATCACAATCCTCAGTTCGTCTGTTGCAAAATACTAAAGGAACAAATCCAGACAAATCATCAAGATCTGCGCATCTCGTCATTGAAAACAAAGAAAACTTGACTCTCTCAGATTTGCTGCAGAATATCAATGACGCGAAAAATATCAATTTTAACTTCACGAACTGCCCAAATCTATCAATCTATTTTGGAAAAGATGAAACAGAGAGGAAGTAATATTATAAAATAACGTTGTTTTGTTCAAATGTTTGAAAACTGTGTTTTGTTTGAAAAGTTTGTTTAGTTTTGTTAGTTTAAACAAATACTTCATTTATTTATGTACTCTAAAAAAGTCATTAATAAAATTGATTAATAAAAAAAATGTAGTCACACACTTGTAACATAAAATAGTATAAGCAACTCGTGCTGTCTTGATGATTATGCATAATCATCAACTTACAGCACTTGTTGCTTAATATACTATTATTTATTTTTACCGCTGAGAAAAGTATTTCGTTCCCAACTGTGGTCTCTCTATTTGGATGAAAGAACTATCTGTTTGATGTGAATAGAAACCAAATTCAAGTTTGGATAATAACTTCATCACCAGCTATTCGAATGAATCCATTTGTACGATTCAAGTGAATTTTATTCAATTAGAAAATTATTTATATTTTTATTTCGTAATAATTCAGTTGCATTATGCAATTGTATTTGCATTACTTTATTCATTGCTTCAACACAATTATTGCTCATATCCTAATTCCAATGCTGACTGAATGAGATTATCCTTCTTGAAGACACTTTAAAGTGCGAGTTTCGGGAATTCATCTTATGTTGATACTTTGATAAAAGTGCGTGCTCACACCTTTATTATTTTTTCTAGTTGACCTTAAAGACGTGAATTAATAACGAATTGCTATTTAACGTAAATCTAAGGTCTCCTAATTGAGTAGTTTAGCCGGTTCTGATGTTCTTTGGTTGAATATTTCTTTTGAATATGCGACACCTTTTTCCAAGACCAAGCGACCGATTCTACCTCGCTCTCCCAATTCCCAATTCTCTCGGTTTTGTCATTTCTCCTGTTTTTCCGGCTGTGGTTTTGTTGATTTTGCGTTTTCAAAAATCAGCTGATGCCCAACGACAGTTACTCGCAAGAACTGGTGGCATTCTCGTTTTATCTTTTTGGTTTTGGAGGATTTTGAGAAATTGGAACGAAGGAGGCCGAAGGTGACAAATTCAGGCTGTCTTCGTTAAGGATATGATGCGGATGGAGGATTTCGGTTTTCATCGGTTTCTTCCGAAAATGTTCATCATAATCAATGTTTTTCGTAAAAATGGTAAAGGCTGATTTTTCGGACTATGATTGGCGAAGAGTAGGCCATTTTCATGCCGATGACGTTCATGTAGATTGATACTGGTGCGATAATGTACGTATTGATGGAGAAATGAAGAGGTCAAATAAACATCACAAAACTTGACAACACTTTGTTTATTCAGAAGGAATCATAGTTTTAGAACATTTTTACTCTAGGCCTTGATGTTGGTGGTATATAACATGCATTATCTGAAATCTTAAAGCATGTTATGTATTTCTCAGTATTCTTGTCTACTTAATTATTCTTATAAGAAACAACCCAATTGTCAAATCCAATTTTTGATCGAATTAAATTAAGATGAAAAGTACTCACTGATCTTTTCCCGTTCATTTACGTGGTCATCCGAGCCTTTCTGGTAGCGTATTCCAGACACATCTGTATGAGAAACGTCCTAAGAGGATTGTCATCAAGAAAAGACCAATTGTCTCTCGATTTATGATTGGCAATTTGATATTTTTCACTTCCGTAAATTTTTTTATAGCAAGGTAGGAAATCCACTTGTTTTTTAGGATGAGTATAATTTTACCAATACCGATGCTTCTTACATTAGTATTATTCGCCCTCTATTCGTAAAATAACAACGAGTTTTAGGAAGTTGTTCCAGTTCAGAATGTAAACGAACTACCAGAGAAGTTGACAGAGCTCTCAAAACTTTGAAACAAACTACATTTTTTCCGATAACGTAGAGACTGGAAGAATAAATTCTTGGCTTTACCTATGTTACCGTAATTTTTATTGATTTCTGCGTCGGAATGGAAGGTTTGTAATCGTTGATTTTGGCGATTTTCTAATTTTGTCTGAAAATGACGTAGAATGTCATAACACGTGAAGATATAATGTTTTTACAAAATTTGTGCATGTATGTCTGGGTATGTGTGCGAATTTTTAACTTCCCGATCTATAGGGAAGTTATTGTAATGACCCCGAAAATCGAAAGTGGAAATTTCCCGATATCTCCACGTTTCATGACCCCTAGAATCTTTCTATGATGTTTCCAAAGATATGTCTGTGTGTGTGCGTGTATGTATGGCTGTGAACAAATTTTGTGCTACGATTTCTCTTAAATAAACGATGAGAATCCAATTTGCTTTATGCCCATTGATGCGCCTCGATGGGACTTAGACCTGATTAAATTATGAACAAAATCGTCTCAGCGGTTCGTTAATTATTTAAATAAAACTTAAAAAAAAACTATCGTCGAATGTTTGTGCTACGATTGCACTTGGATAAAAGATGAGAATCAAATTTTCTCTGTGCCCATCGATGCGCCTCAATGAGACTTAGATCTGATTAAATTTTGAGTTCAATCGTCTCGGCGGTTTATTAGTTATATAACTGAAACTAAAAATAAAAATTTATCGAATTTTTTTTGCCAGTCGATTACCATGCGAATAATGTTTTTTTCCGGAATCTGGGTAAATTACCCCATTTAGAGTGAGAAAACAATGAGCGATGACCCAAATTTTCAATTGTCAATAACAAGTATTAAGGGGGGACCTCGGTAAAACTTTGAAGTCTGCGATTAGTGACGGGATCCACCGAACAACTTTTAATACATGATGGGGGTGATGAAAGAATTGAAAAAATGACGGACCCAACCCATTTTGCCCCGTATTTTAACGTAAATCGTAATTTTGCGTGTTTTAACGTGAAAAATGCTCCTTGCACCACAGTTTTCATCCGATCCAGGTTTTCTTTTCTTTAGAATGTTCGTTTGACATCAAAGAATAAAATCAAAGCTTTTTGCCTTACGTGGAATAGATCATGAAATAATTAATTTTTTCAATTTACTAATTTCACGCGGTTCTGCATGACGTTTAACAAATTGCATATATTTTTTCACTGACCAAACGTTCATTGCGTTTTTTTCATGTACCATTATAATCTCCAACAATTTCCAAAAACAATTTTTTAGACGTTATGCAGAGATGAGTGAAAATAGTAAATGGAAAAAACCCAATGGATGGGATTTGAATTAATTTTGTGTCATCGATGCGTCTCCACATAATTCGATTTTCATTGGATTTTAAGTGAAATCGCCTCAGTGGTTGTTAAGTTTTTTAAATAAAACTTTGAAATTTTGCAATTAAAAAAAAGGGAAAGTTGGAAAATTTTAGAGTGGGTTAACTTTGAAGTTGGAAAATTTTGAAGTGGGTCAACTTTGAAGCTGCAAATTTTTAAGTGAATCAGCTTCGGAATGAGAGAATTTTCAAGTGGGTCAAGTAAAGTGGGTCTAATTCAAACTTGATTGAAGTTTGAGTTAACTTAAATTGCAAATGCGTTCTTTGCGAAATCACCCTAAGGATTATGCCACAATGGATGCAACGCTAAACACATGCAACGTATGAAATAATTATCCAACTGTTTTTCGAATATTTCTGATAATGACTAGCGTTGCGTATAGCGTGCGCTGCATTCACTGTGGCATGATCCCAGCGTTTATTAAATCCTCGAAGAAACTTCCCTTTTATGGGTATTTCCCCGGAGAAATGTGAGAAAAAGAGTGAATAAATACATAAAAAAAAGTAATGAAAGAAAAAACAAATGGTCGGGAAGTTATTGGTTCGACCCGTAATGGGTCACACCGAATTCCACCAACCTCTACCGGTCATACCCCAAAGAGGGAGCGCGCGAAGCGTGCGACCGGGCCTGATTTTTTTGTAGTTTGATTGATCGGATTATTGAATTTTTCAAACTTTCAATTTTACCATTTTATAATTATTTAGATAGTATTTTGAATTTTAGACAGAATTATTTCGATGCAGACTTTTGATTAGTATTCAACATGAAAACGCGAAAAAGTCTTTGTATTCATTAAATTTGAGTGATTTAAATTTATATAAGTCACAGAAAAAGTCCAAAATTGAAAAATCTAAGTTTATGTTATGATTGAAATTTGAAAGGAAGTTAAAATGTTGATGAACTAGAACTTCAAAAATTCTCAAATTGCTAATTTTCAATAAAAATTGAGAAATGGAAGAAAAATTTTTGTTTCTAATGATTTTGAAGGAAAACTCGAATTTATTGAAATTTAAAATGAAGCTTGTCAATGCTAAAATCTTAATTTTAAATGAGAATCGGATACATGAATTTATGGGGATTTAAATTTAAAGATAAGTGTACTGGGAACTTAGGCGTGTCCTATCGACTGCCCCATGAAATTTTAGCTGTTATGTCACGAGAAAGATTTTAGCGTCGAAAGGACATGTTTTAATTATCACATTAAAATCAAAGCTAAAATTATTAGATTTTGTGATTATTGGACGACGCAAAGTTTTATACTCTTACCTTTTTCTAAAATATAAAGGAACAGGGTTTGATTTAGGGATAGGGTTTGAGTTGTGATTAATTACTAATCAAGAAATTTGGAGTTGTAATGAGAATCAAATTTGAATTTAAATATATTTTGAATAACTGTTCGGTTTACAAAAACATAGGCGTGATTTTACCGAAATCTACGTAGTTAAAAATTCCTACCCCTGGAATGATCTGAAAGATTCAAATTTGGGTTTACAAATTTTGTTACTCACAATTCGGNAATTTTAGAGTGGGTTAACTTTGAAGTTGGAAAATTTTGAAGTGGGTCAACTTTGAAGCTGCAAATTTTTAAGTGAATCAGCTTCGGAATGAGAGAATTTTCAAGTGGGTCAAGTAAAGTGGGTCTAATTCAAACTTGATTGAAGTTTGAGTTAACTTAAATTGCAAATGCGTTCTTTGCGAAATCACCCTAAGGATTATGCCACAATGGATGCAACGCTAAACACATGCAACGTATGAAATAATTATCCAACTGTTTTTCGAATATTTCTGATAATGACTAGCGTTGCGTATAGCGTGCGCTGCATTCACTGTGGCATGATCCCAGCGTTTATTAAATCCTCGAAGAAACTTC